CCGAATAAACCGAAGTTACCGAACCGAATAAACCAAAACCGAAAAGAGAAAAACCGAACCATACCTAATTAAATTAGGTACGGTATTGGTATAGTATTTTAAGAAACCGAATATCGAAAATACCAAACCGAAATGTCTAAATACCGTACCATACCGACCGACGAACACCCCTAGATCTGGCCACTTCGAGTTCATCGGCCAAGCTTGCCTTATCAGAAGCTGCCAAATCCAATCGATCCTGAAGCTCCTTAATCTTCTCGATCTGCACCGAGGCGTTTTCCTTTGCAGCCCGAAGCTGGGTCTCAGACAACTCCAATTGCGCTTGGACGACCTCCTTTTTCGAGGCAATGATGTCCATATTCTCTTGAATTCTTTTGCCTCGACCAGTAGCTCACCTACCTGCGAAATGAGCCGTCCAATCTGTTCGAGCCTCTGCCGAACCTGCAGAATCGGATCGTTAATGGTTATCTCCAATTCATCGTCACTATCGTGAAGAATTCAAAATACCTACTCAGCCATTTCCTCGTGCTCATCTTGAGTCGTTGCCAAATCTGCCCGAAGCTTCTTACTAAGAAGTTTGTAGGAGTCACTATTCTCAGTGAGGTTCCGAACTTCGGCCTCATGCTCTCCTCCCGGATTTGGTGGAAAGCCTAGTGATGCAACACCGAATCCTACAAATATGGAAAAAGATGTTAGAATTATCTACAACTCTGTAAGTGTAAAATAAACGGCAGAGATACCATCGAAGTTACCCGATTTATAGCATGTTGAGCCTTGCTGAAAAGACAAGTCGATCCTATCGTATTCATCACAGTTTGATCTTTTTCGGTCACCAAGGACCGAAGGTAACTAGCAATCCCCACTGGGAGAGAGAAAATTCAGGCATCCTCCGGGATGGAGAGCATTATCTTCGGCTTACGATCGGGATTAACACTCGGGGTTGGGAATCGGTCCACCGGTTTTGGAACCGATGAAGACCCGGTAGAGCCCGACCATGATGCTTTCTTCGATACCGGTAATTCACCGAACCCGATAATCTCCTCTGAGGCAGCTGAGTCGAGCCTATCCAGAAAGCTGTGGATATCGGTCGACTCATGAATACCATCGTAAGATCGACCTTCCAACATGTTGGCCTCATGGATCAAAGCATCTAAAATTTGAGGGGATCCACTAATGTCGATAACCCCGAGCTCGTCCCTCGAGATATTTTTTTCTGCCCGAGAAGTCTTGACCTCGGTCTCCCTTTCAACCATCTCAACTCGAGACGGGATAGTCTCGACTTTTCCTTGTTCAGGAATTTTGGCCAGGGTTCCCTTATCCACCTCCGCCGATTCAGAGGATTGTTGTATCACAACATTAGCCCGTACACAGGCTAATTCCTCTTCTCTTTCTTTGGGCTCATCCCTTAATCGGCGGATCAAGTCCGGAGGCATGATACCAGAGCCCCCCTTGGGCTTGCGATATTTCTTCGCCGATTTTTTCTTTTCCGAGATCGGGGAACTCGGCGCATCTTTTCTCTTCTTCTCTTTAACCTGCTTTGGGGTAGGGACCTCTTCATCACCAGATGGGGGCCTCATGGCAACATCTTTCCCAAGTCCTATAAAGGGAAAAGGGGGGGGAGGTAAGAAAGTGAAGAAGAACAAATGACAAACAAACTAAGGAAGCGACTTATCATGACTGCGAGCCTCCTATCGACCCTTTGATAGTTCCACCCAAGCGCGCTTGAAGTATGGTCTCTGCAGCACCAGACCTTCAAACCATTGTTTAAGACCCGAAATCGGTTCCGACATCCGAGCCACAGCTGTAACAAGAAAGAAAAAGTGGATCAAGAAAATGAAAGGCAGTCACAAATTAAAACACTTGAAGGGAAATAAATACTCACGGTTCATATTCCATTTCTTAGAAAACGACATGTCATTGGTAGGGATAAGGTCTGAGGTTTTGAGTCGAACAAATCGGCCCATCCAGCCTCGATCACGAGTCTCGTCTATACTCGTGAACAACACTTTGGTGGCTCGGAGAGCAAGCTTGATTAACCCTCCTCTATAGAGTCGGAGACTATAAAGGTGCATAAGGTGATCTAGGGTGAAAACACACCCCTCGATTTTGTTTGAGAAGAATCGAAGAAGAATCACTATTCTCCAAAAAGAAGGGTGGATCTGGCCAAGGGTCACGTCGTATCTCATGCAAAAGGCAATGATGACAGGGTCTAAAGAACCCAATGTGAAAGGATGACTATAAACACTTAAGAACCCTTCCAAGTGGATAGTAATTGATTCTTCAGACGATGGGACTACCACGTGCTTGTCTCCCCAATTGCATTCCTGTTTTACTTTCTCGAGAATTTTCTCGGTGATTATACACGGGTACCTCGAGATCGGCTCACATCGGCCCGGTATCGAATAAGGTTTTTCAACCTTAAAATCAATGACAATTGAGCACCCTACCGGAATGAATTCCTCGGGGCGAGGCTCCGCCGCATCCTGACCGCCGGCGGGTCATGATGAAGAAGTGGCCTATTTTTGCGGCACCATTTTGGAGGTTTTTGCCATTTGATGAACAAAGTAAAAGAGAATTAGGGTTGCATGCGATGTAAAATGTATGAAGCAAAGAGATTTTCTGAAGAAGATGCAAGAGTAGAGAAGAAACTTTTGAGTGCAAGTTACGATGAGGATGAGAATTTGAATATGTATAGCATGGTGATGACGGTTCAGAATCAATAGTGGCCAATCAACGACTGAAAGGCATTTAATGCCTTGGTAACTAGACCGACGGGACGTTTGTTACATACATCATAATCGGGCTCGTGGCTGACAGCATCATCCGCCAAGTCGAACTTCGGTAATTCATATTGTTTCTCGTCATCTTCTTTCCGAGAAACGAGGGGACTATTTGTATACGGTCAAAACCAAATATTTCCTGCATATGACTAATCGAGATTGGAACATGGTGGTATGAGGTTTATCATTGTAATATCGAGCCATGGTGAGAAGTATATATTGTCGAGATCGAGACCCAGAGACCGATCAAGATCGAGGTCGGCCAAGATCGAGTTCGAAGACTCACAAGACCGATCAAGATCGAGATCGGCTGAGATCGAGATCGGCCAGGATCAAGGTCGAGCCAAGAAACAAAAAAGTCGTTATAGCTGCAATTAGTGGGAGAATCTCAGCGGAAATCACGGCACAAATTAAGGAAAGAATAATTATTTATTCTATCATGCGATCCCACTATATATTTTTTAATATATCCAAAATAGGATTTCTCCACTATATTAAGGGTTGTTATCGCTTGTAGAAGGGGGATCAGATTCACCGAGAATTATAGAATATCAAGCAAATACTATCCTCTTTGGGCTTTGATATTGTCTCATATTGTTCTTCTACCAATCATTCTCCATTCAATTTGAGAGTGATAAAACCTGAAGGCTTAGGCCAACTAATTCATTCGGTTTGCATTCATTTCTTTTATAGATAATTTCGATATTAATTTACTTATTTTTTCAATTTGTACCAAGTTATACCACGTATCCTTAGAACTACGTATAAATTCAATTGCTATCCATTTTTCGGGTAAACAATCATTTTTATAAGAAATAAGAAACACAATAGTTTACGTATATTTACATATATGGTTCAATTTTTAAAATATGGTGAATAGTGATTTATGATACAATGAAGCATGAGATAATACATTCTGGAAAAAAGAAAGAAACAAAGAAAGTATGTGTGATCCAACGTCACCATTCAGAAAAAGAAAAGAAAAGAACAGAAACTTATATTTATAATTTATCCAAACAAGGGCTCACACGGATAAAGACACAACACGAGTAAATTACGCAGCTAATTACAGTATAAATGAAAATGGTTGATAACCAAATATATTACATGTGAAACTTTTAGCCTTCTTTTTTTTTTTTTACTAAATATCATTTGTTCTCACTTAATGAATGATTGAATCTGAATGATTTAGACCTCAAATCATTAGGTTCACTTGTTTTTATTAAGATTTAACCATTTGAAACTTCTTCGTCCCTATTAATCGAATAAGAATATGGCAATCCACTATATCAGAGTTGTAGTTCGCCTAATCATATTCCAATATTTTCTGTAGTTCTACCAAAAATTAGGGATGGCAATGGGGCGGGTTTGGCAAAACCCACAAAAATTTCAACCGCCCCGTCCCGCATAGTTATTTTTTCAGTTTTAAACCCACCCCGCCCCGCCCCACTTAATTGTTTTTTCCTTTTTTCTTTAATTTTTTTCTAAAACAAACTAGTTTGGTATTTTATTATTTTATAAAATGGAGAGTTTAATAGAATCACATAAACATAAAACTGAGAGAATATTACGCTGATCTTCCAAAATAAATGGATTACTATCATTTCCTATTACTAATACGAAATCTTGAATTATGTAATATCATTTTGGTGAGACTTAAGCAAATTGATTAATTATAAATCAAAATAGTATTCGTGCTAGTGAAGAAGAATATGAAATTATAGTTGAAATAATTACTTTGTTTCAAAAAAGATAAAATTTAAAGTTGCCCCGCATTAAACCCGCAACTCGCCCCGCTTTAAAAGTTTTAAAAGCTGTTTTAACCCGCCCCGCCCCGTTGCCAACCATAACCAAAATGTCAATCAACACACTTCTACTTGATATAGTTTCTTTTTTGTCCTTCTTTGCCTGTTGTAGTAACTTTACATTCCAATAATATGGCTGGCCTGACATGGAAATACCCCTTAATTTTAGCGATTTTTTTCTTCCTATCTAATATTTAAAATTTATTTACCAAAATTATTCTAATTTTGTATATTACCCGCCCTAAACAAGAATTACTTACAAATTATATACAATCTATTATTAGTGCCTTAAATTAGAGGATTCTTTGCTTGGAAAAAGACATAACTGAAGGGAACAAAGGTGTTAACCACGTTTGAGTATCTGATGGTGGCAATAGCAGCTCCCGTCGTCGGAAAAGTGTAGGCCTGCCAATCTATTTGCTCCAAACATGAAGATTTGATCATAATTTTTGCCTCCTTCCTTTAATTTGTCGCTTTTACCATCCAATTTATTTGCCCCAACCTGACATTATTATCACTCTGTATTCAAAACCAGTAAATCAATAAATGTTAATTTAAGGAAAAAAATAAAGCAGAAAAAATTTCGAGCCCACAAGTTTCTTGTGTTTCCTTAAGAAATTTAATCCCCCCACAATACCCAAGGTTGCGGATTAATTTCTCCCAGGATAGAACGGAATAACTATTCTGTGGTAGCGGCACGTCAAATCATAGAATTTCTGCGAACTCAAATGACGGAGCAAATCACACAAAATGCTTACGTTTTGCTTTTGAAAAACCAATGCAGTATGCAAAAAATTGAGGGGAAAGATTTCAAATTTTTCAGTGGTGGAAAATGAGGCTAAGCCTCTCTATTTATAGACAATGAAAGGGTGAGATGAAGAGGTGCAATCCAAGAGGTGCCTCTTTCATTTTCCATTCACACCCCAATGAAAGAGTGGGATGAAGAGGTGCAATCCAAGAGGTACCTATTCCATTTCTCATTCACACCCCTTAAAAACGCAACAATCCTCCACATGAATGGAGAATGGACATATGTGGAAAAACATGCATGAAAATACTGTGTGATTCGCAATTAAGGATTAATCACATCTGGATAAGTAGGTTTCCCTTTGAACTTTCCGTAGTGAGCTTATGTCGGATATACTCGGTCAATCAGTAGATTTGATATCTTTGAACCTTCAAACTTTGGTGTATACCTAGACAACCATAAGTCACACAATCAACCCTTAACCGTCTTTGGTTCTCATTATTGTGTTCGTTTCAGCCATGAACACCACCTGGTTCATAAGTCCGTAGAGAACTGGCCTTACAGAATTCTCCTTGAAGCGGCTTATACTTCACACTTACATAGATGATTCCTAAGCGTATTATCCCGTAGATACACTATTTGATATACCTCGTATCAAATTTAGAAACCATTAAAAAGTTTTAATGCTTTATCCTTGGTATTGAACATTGTCTCATCACGAGAATGGACCAAAAAAATATTTATTTAACAATGTTGAACCGTCATTAATGACTTTGTTTGATCTCCTTGAACCTAGATTTTGAGATCTCCAGTCTTCTAGGTAGAGTTACCGCCACAGTGACTTGTCCTCGGCCATAGTCCCATTCCCTTTAATGACTTCTCAACTGCCTCTCTAGGTAGGCCTTTTGTAAGCGGATCCGATACATTATCTTTTGACTTTACATAGTCAATTGTGATAATTCTACTAGAGAGTAGTTGTGTAATGGTATTATGCCTTCGTCGAATGTGACGATATTTTCCGTTATACATAACGCTCACAGCCCTTCCTATTGCTGCTTGACTGTCGCAATATATGCATACAGGTGCCACAGGTTTGGGCCAAAATGGAATATTTTTTAAGAAATTCCGGAGTCATTCAACTTCTTTACCGGCCTTGTCTAAAGCTATAAACTCAAACTCCATTGTAGAGTGGGCGATGTATGTCTATTTGGACGACTTCCAAGACACTGCTCCTCCACCAATGGTAAAAACGTATTCACTTGTGAATTTTGATTCCGGTGATCTAATTTGTATCACTATATCCCTCAACAACTGCGGGATAATTATTGTAATGCAATGCATAGTCTTGTGTATATTTCAAATATCCCAAAACTCGTTTCATTACTATCAAATGAGCTTGGTTGGGATTACTTGTGTATCGACTAAGCTTACTTATCGCACAAGCTATATCAGGTCGTGTACAATTCATAATGTACATTAAACTTCCCAACACTCGAGCATATTCCAATTGAGACTTGCTTTGACCTTTATTCTTTACAAGAGTATGGTTTAAATCAATTGGCATTTTTGCTTCTTTAAAGTTCAAATATTTGAACTTTTCAAGTACCATTTTAATATAATGAGATTGAGACAAAGCTAGACCTTGAGGAGTTTGAAGGATCTTAATTCCCAAAATTAAATCGGTAACTCCTAAGTCTTTCATATCAAACTTACTAGTAAGCATGCGCTTAGTAGCATTTATGTTAGTAATGTTGTTACTCATTATCAACATATCATCCATATATAAACAAACAATGACTATATGATTTGGAGTATTCTTAATGTAAACACATTTGTCACACTCATTGATCTTGAAACCATTTGACAATATTATTTGGTCAAATTTTGCATGCCATTGTTTTGGTATTTGTTTAAATCCGTAAAGTGACTTAACAAGTCGACACACCTTTTTTTCTTTTTCGGGAACTACAAACCCTTCAGGTTGCTCCATATATATTTCTTCCTCTAAATATTCATTTAATAAGGTTGTCTTTACATCCATCTGATGGATTTGAAGGCCATACACGGCGGCTAATGCTATTAACACCCGGATAGATATAATCCTTATTACCGGCGAGTATGTGTCAAAGTAATCAAGACCTTCTCGTTTTCTAAACCCTTTAACAACTAATCTTGCCTTATATTTGTCAATAGTACCATCAACTTTCATTTTCCTTTTGAAAATTCATTTAGAACCCAAAGGTTTATTTTCCGGAGGAAGATCAACTAATTCCCAAGTATGATTACTTAATATGGATTCTATCTCACTATTGACTGCCTCTTTCCAATATTGTGCTTCCGAGGAACACATTGCTTCTTTGAACGTTTGAGGCTCATTTTCCAACATAAATGTCAGAAAGTCTGGTCCAAAGGAAGTAGTTATCCTTTGACGTTTACTACGTCTTGGATTTTCCTCATTAAACGTACTTTCCTTTTCTTCTTCTTAAGGTCGCTTAGATTTTTCACTAGACGACTCACATTCATTTTTATATGGATAAATAATCTCAAAGAATTCAGCATTATCATATACGATTACCGTATTAATATGAATGTCGGTATTTTCTAATTTATGAACCAGAAAACGATATGCTTTACTATTTCCTGCATATCTTATGAAAACGCAATCAACCGTTTTGGGTCTTTCACCCTTTTGGTTTTAGGAATTTGCACTTTAGCCAAACACTCCCATATTTTAAAATATTTTAAATTGGGTTTCCTACCTTTTCATTTTTCATATGGAATAGATTGCATTTTGTTATGGAGAACTCGGTTGAGTATTTGATTTGCTGTAAGAATAGCTTCCCCCCACAAGTTCTGGGGTAAACCCGAACTTATCAATAAGTCATTCATCATCTCCGTTAACGTTTTATTTTTTTTTTCGCAATTCCATTAGATTGCGGTGAGTAAGGGGCAGTTGTTTGGTGAATAATGCCATATTCCAAACATATTTCTTCAAAAGGAGATTCATATTCACCACCCAAATCACTTCTTATCATTTTGATCTTTTTGTTTAGTTTCATATTCACCACCCAAATCACTTCTTATCATTTTGATCTTTTTGTTTAGTTGCGTTTCAACTTCATTTTTGTATTGCTTGAATGTCTCAATTGCTTCATCTTTACTATTAAGTAAGTAAATATAGCAATATCTAGTATTGTCGTCAATAAAAGTTATGAAATATTTTTTTCCACCGCGAGATGGTATTGACTTCATGTCGCAAATATATGTGTGAATTAAGTCTAAAGGAGTTGAATTCCTTTTAACTGACTTATAAGGATGTTTAACATATTTTGATTCCACACATATTTGGCATTTCGAGTTATTGCATTCAAACTTAGGCAATACTTCCAAATTAATCATTTTTCGCAAAGTTTTGAAGTTGGCGTGGCCTAAACATTCATGCCATAAATCATTTGACAGAGCAAGTAAGAAGAAGCTGGAATTTTATTCATATCAATGGCAATTACATTGAGTTTGAAAAGGCCCTCCGTAAGGTAGTCTTTTCCTACATACATTTCATTCTTACTAACTACAACCTTGTCGGAAACAAAAACACACTTAAAGCCATTCTTGACTAGAAGTGACGTTGAGACTAAATTCTTCCGCATTTTAGGAATATGAAGGACATCATTTTGAGTCACAATCTTGCAAGAAGTCATCTTCAAAGCTATCTTGCTCGTTCCTTCAATTTTTGCAGTAGCGGAATTTTCCATAAAAACTGTCTTGTTGGGTCCAGCTGGAGCATAAGAAGTAAACAACTCCTTGTTCGTACAAACATGACGATTTGCCCCCGAATCAATCCACCATTCTCTAGGATTTCCAACTAGGTTGCACTCCGAAAGCATGGCACATAAATCGTCTATTTCATCATTTTTCTCAATCATGTTTGCTTGACTTTTCTTCTTGTCCTTCTTTGGTGCACGACATTCAGTAGCCTTGTGTGCAACCTTTACACAATTGTGGCAATTACCTTTGAACTTCTTTTTGCTTGGGTAATTCTTTGGACCAGACGACTTCTTTCTCTTTTTGCTCGTTGAAGCTTCCTCAACAATATTTGCACCCATAATTGTTGAATTTCCACGAGACTTCTTCTCAGTAGCCTTGTTGTCCTCTTCAATCCGTAGACGAACAATAAGGTCTTCAAGTGTTATCTTCTTGTGCTTATGTTTTAAGTAATTCTTAAAGTCCTTCCACAGCGGAAATAACTTTTCAATAAATGCCGCAACTTGAAACGCTTCATTTATGACCATACCTTCAATCATAAATTTATAATTAGTAAGATAATCAATATCTTGAATAAAAATATTGACTCGGTTTATACCTTCAGCAAGGAGGTCATGAACAATAACTTGCAATATTTGGACTTGCGTTATGACAGATTTACCGTCAACCATTTTGAAATCGAGAAATTTGGCAGCCACAAACTTTTTTAGTCCAGCATCTTCAGTCTTGTACTTCTTTCCAAGATCATTCCACAATTCTCTTGATGTTTTCATGACGCTATAAACATTGTACAAGCCGTCTTCCAAGCAACTTAAAATATAGTTTTTGCATAAGAAGTCAGAATGCTTCCATGCCTCAGTGACCACAAATCGCTCATTTTTAGGAGTTTCTTCTCCCAAAACTGGAACTTTTTCGCTGATAAAGCGCTGTAAACTAAGTGTGGTTAGGTAGAAGAATATTTTCTACTACCAACGCTTAAAGTCCACACCGAAAAACATTTCGGGTTTTTCTACTGGTGCCATTGCCGGTGCAGGAGTGGTGCGACTTGAAGATGCAGTTTCCATTGCAGCAGTAGTCCCAACAGAATTATTCTGTTGTTCCGCACTTGTTGTCATTTTTCTGTAATAGAAATTGACAAACAAAATTAGTATCTCGGTGAAGTTTTTATATCTTCAAACTGAATACAAGCAGTCGAGTTTTTATATCTCGGATTGAGTAGAAAGTCACAAAGACTTTAATCTTAAACTGGAGTAGAAAATTCGAAGATTTTAATCTCCAAAACGGGAGTAGAAAATCAATAAGATTTTAGTCTCCCAAAAATAGAATGTAAGATGAATACAGAAATAAATATTAAATTCCTTAAGCTTGTTATCACTCTGTATTCAAAACCAGTAAATCAATAAATGTTAGTTTAAGGAAAAAAATAAAGAAGAAAAAATTCCGAGCCCACAAGTTTCTTGTGTTTCCTTAAGGAATTTAATCCCCTCACAATGCCCAAGGTTGCGGATTAATTCCTCCCAGGATAGAACGGGATAACTATTCTGTGATAGCGGCACTTCAAATCACAGAATTTCGGCGAACTCAAATGGCAGAGCAAATCACACAAAAATGCTTACGTTTTGCTTTTGAAAAACCAATACAGTACGCAGAAAATTAAGGGGAGAGATTTCAGATTTTTCAGTGGTTGAAAATGAGGCTAAGCCTCTCTATTTATAGACAATGAAAGGGTGAGATGAAGAGGTGCAATCCAAGAGGTACCTCTTCCATTTCCCATTCACACCCCAATGAAAGGGTGAGATGAAGAGGTGCAATCCAAGAGGTGCCTCTTCCATTTCCCATTCACACTCCTTAAAACCGCAACAGACATCTGATCACCAGTTTTGTTTCTTTCCATTATTTTCTCGCCTTTACCATCAAATCTATTTTCCCCAAACTTAAACAGTTGATCACTAGTTTTGTTTCCTTCCTTCGAATTGTCTTCTTTAGCATCCAACCAACTTCTTCGAAACTTAAATAACTGATCACCATGTATGTTTGGTACCATCAACTTGTCTTGTTTTCCACCAGAGGAAGAATCGGACAGATCAAGAGTCTTCAATAACAGCAAAATATTCTCATCAGTTTTGGTAGTTGGTAAACGAATATATTATACTCTTCTCTTGTAACGACCTGGTCGGTTGTTTTGAGTGTATTAGCCCCGATCCCCTATTTACTGCTTCCCCCATATCTATTTCTGCTTATGTGACTTTCCGAGAGGTTTTGTTGTGGTTTCGAAGTGAGTTGGGACACTTAGTTCCTAAAACGGAAGCTTAATCTTAGGATTTTGACCATAGTTGGAACTGTGTGAAGACGACTCTAGAATGAAGTTTTGTCGGTTCCGTTAGCTCCGTTGGGTGATTTTGGACTTAGGAGTGTGTCCGGACTGTGAATTTGAGGTCTGTAGCTCATTTAGGCTTGAAATGGCGAAAGTCAAATTTTCGGAGATTTTGACCGGAAATGGACTTTTTGATATCGGGGTCGGATTCCAATTCTGGAAGTTGGAGTAGGTCTGTAATGTCAATTATGACTTATGTACAAAATTTGAAGTCAATCGGTCGTGGTTTGATATGTTTCGGCATCAGTTGTAGAAGTCTGAAGGTTCAATGTTCATTAAGTTGAATTGGATGGTAATTCATATTTTTAGCATTGTTTGATGTGATTTGAGGGCTCGACTAAGTTCGTGTGGTGTTATAAGACTGGTTGGTATGTTTGGTTGAGGTCCCGGGGGCCTCTGTGAGTTTTGGATGCTTAACGGATCGAAATTTGGACTTGTATAATTGCTGAAGCTTTCAAGCTTCTAGTATTATCGCACCTGCGGTGGGGTGGCCGCAGGTGTGGACACGTAGGTGCGAGAGGCCAAGAGCAGAAGCAGGGTTGAGGAGATGGACAGGGGTCGCATGTGCGAGGGAATTTCCGTATCTACGGGCCTGCGGATACGCCTAAAGTTTCGCAGATGCGGAGAGTGAGCTGGAGGGGGAGTCCGCAGAAGCAGACATTTGTTCACAGGCGCGCACTCGCAGGTGCGGCCATTTGATCGCAGAAGAGAACCCAGGTGTGTAATTCAAGTCCGCACCTGCGATGGATTTTCCGCAGGTGCGACTATGAGTTTGCAGGTGCGAGATCACTGGGCAGAAAAGGGGAAATTACGAGAGTTTGATCTCATTTTCACTTTGGGGCTTTGAGAGCTCGGATTTAGGCGATAATTTGAGGAATTTTCAAAGGAAGCTATTAGGTAATGATTCTTAACTCATTTATGATTATATTCCACTAATCTATAGTTGATTTCATCATTTAATTAAGGAATTTGGTTGAGAAATTTGGGAAAAATGGGAGAAGTTCTTCAACTAAGTTTTTGAGTTTTTATTGGGATTTTGATATCGGATTTGGATAATTTTGGTACGAGTGAACTCGTGGTTGATTGGGTATTCGTATTTTGTGACTTTTACTCGATTTTGAGACGTGGGCCTGGGTCGACTTTTTAGGACGATTTTCAAAATTTTTGTTAAAGTCTTAATTTCATTAATTAGATTAGTCCATTATAGTTGTATTTATGATATGTAATTGTTTAGGCTAGATTTGGGCCATTAGGAGTCGGATAATCGAGAAAAGAGCATTCTAACTGATTGATTGAGCTTGGTTTGAGGTAAGTGACTTGCCTAACCTTGTGTGGAGGAAATTCCTTTAGGATTTGGTATTGTTGTGATATGTGAGCTCCGTGTACGTGAGGTGAAAAGTATGTACACGAGCTATATTATTGTAAAACCCGATTTTTACTGAGTATCAATCTGTTTTTCCTTTTAAATTGAGTTATACTGTTTTAATGAGTATTAGTCTGTTTCCATTATTATTTGAGCTATTCTAATATGTGTAGTTACCATGTTTAGTCTAATATCGCATGTCTACGTACTTTAACTGCTTATTTAAATTATGTGAAGCATGCCTAGTTGATTTCCTGCTTTTCTTTGTTCTTTATCAGTCTTAACTGTAGAATTTATGTTGTTAACTGTGGTATTTATCAGTTTGGGATGCGTGTTTATTTTTTATACTATGAGGCGGTTCCCCGGGAGTTCTCCCTGCACATTTACCTTTGAGACTATGAGGCAGTTCCTCGGGAGTTCTCCCTGCATATTTACTTTTGAGACTATAAGGCGGTACCCCGGGAGTTCTCCCTGCGCATTTACTTTTGAGACTACGAGGCGGTACCTCGGGAGTTCTCCCTGCATATTTATTTTGGGACTACGAGACGGTATCTCGAGAGCACCTCTGTTATTATCACATTGTGCTGTGTTATTATTTCTCTGTGAATTCTTTCTGTTAAATTTCTCGTTTTACTTCATTTTTATTATATCATCTGTCTTATTATTATTTCCCTAGTAGGGCACAGGCCTGACCTCATCACTACTCTACCGAGGTTAGGCTTGGTACTTATTGGGTACCGTTGTGGTATACTCATGCTACTCTTCTGCACATGTTTTGTGTACAGATCCAGTACTTCTTATCAGACCCGTTATTAGCTGAGAGTGCTTGCTATTGTACGGAGAATTCAAGGTACATCTTTCGTGTCCGCAGACCTCGGAGTCCCCCTCTATTCTCTCCTATGTCATTTACCTTCCGTACTTCGTTTATTAGACTCTGGTGTATAGAGATACTACTTTCCTTCTGTAGCTTGTGACTTATGATGTTCCGGGTTTTGGGAATACCATGTATTACTGGAGTGTTGGTTATTGTACATGCCGAGTGGCATTGTTATCAGTTATTTAATTATCTATTTCAGTTAGTTATTAAGTTTTCCTTCCATTTTTGTTATTTCCGCATTTTGTTAGGCTTACCTAGTCGTAGAGACTAGCTGCAGTCATGATGTCTTACGGAGGGAAAATTGGATTGTGACATCTCTCTTTGTCATAATTACCTATTTTAAGAAAAGAATAATGCATGGTACAACATCATACAAATTAAAATTAAATTTCATACAAATTTAATACAAAATTTGATATATCTACAACAATATACATAATAAAAATAAATTTCATACAACTAATTATACAATATACAACTTATTTACAACTTATCTACAACTTTCATACATTCTTCTTACCCAGTTAAATACAACTACAACATCATACAACTTAAATACAATTTTCATACAAATTTTATAAAATATGTCTTTTGTATATTTTGTATGTGGTGTGTGCTTCTTACTCTCTAAAATTCCAATCAAAACTTACTCTCTTAATACAATTTTGATACATATCAACAACTTTATGTAAAAAGATAGTATTGATAACTTAAATACAAATTTTATACAACTATTTTTCAACTTTCATACAATATTCAATAAAAAAATATATAGCTACAACATAATACAATTTACATATAATTATAATACAACTTTACTACAATTTCGTAAGTATATTGTATGTCATGTGTTCTTCTTCTTCCTCTTCTTCTTCTTCTTCTTTGAGTTTCAATCTGAAATTCAGCCAAAATTAAGTTTAAGCTTCACCAAACACCCTCAAAATTGAGATATAAACTCCAAACAATATTCTCAATTGTTTGCAACAACACCCAATCCAAACAAATAATGATTTTTGAAAATCCAAATTCGATTTCAAAGCTTCAAAGCTTTTTAATGGTTGTCAATGGTGGAGAATCAAACACCTTCAAAATTCATTGATTGGCAATTTTAATATGAACACCAATTGTGGAACATGAAAGGAAAATTGCTAAATTAAAACTCTATAGTAAAATGATTGAAATTCATTGATAAATTCCATTAAAAATATATACAACATGAAAGGATAAAAAGTAGAGAACATCATAGAATGAGAGAT